AGCTATATAGTAACCCGCTAGCTGTGAAACAACATGCTAGCTATATAGTAACCCGCTAGCTGTGAAACAACTCGCTAGCTATATCTTAACCCGCTAGCTGTGAAACAAGTTGCTATATTTTAACCCGTTAGCTGTGAAACAATTTGCTAGCTATATCTTAACCCGCTAGCTGTGAAACAAGTTGCTAGATATATCTTGCTAGCTGTGGAACAATTTGCTAGCTATATCTTCATCCGCTAATTATGAAAGAACTTGCTAGCTATATTTTAATCCGCTAGCTGTGAAACAACTTGCTAGCTATATCTTCACCCGCTAGTTATGAAAGAACTTGCTAGATATATCTTAACCCGCTAGAGGTGAATCAACATGCTAGCTATGTCTTAAACCGCTAGCTATGAAAAAACTTGCTAGTTATATATTAACACGCTAGCTGTGAAACAACTTGCTAGCTATATATTAACACGCTAGCTGTGAAACAACTTACTAGCTATATTTTAACCCTCTAGCTGTGAAACAACTTGCTAGCTATATATTAACACGCTAGCTGTGAAACAACTTACTAGCTATATTTTAACTCTCTAGCTGTGAAACAACTTGCTAGCTATATATTAACACGCTAGCTGTGAAACAACTTACTAGCTATATATTAACACGCTAGCTGTGAAACAACTTGCTAGCTATATATTAACACGCTAGCTGTGAAACAACTTGCTAGCTATATTTTAACCCGCTAGCTGTGAAACAACTTGCTAGCTATATATTAACACGCTAGCTGTGAAACAACTTACTAGCTATATTTTAACCCACTAGCTGTGAAACAACTTGCTAGCTATATATTAACCCGCTAGCTGTGAAACAACTTGCTAGCTATATTTTAACCCACTAGCTGTGAAACAACTTGCTAGCTATATTTTAACCCGCTAGCTGTGAAATAACTTGCTAGCTATATCTTAACCTGCTAGCTGTGAAATAACTTGCTAGCTATATATTAACCTGCTAGCTGTGAAACAAGTTGCTAGATATATCTCGCTAGCTGTGGAACAATTTGCTAGCTATATCTTCATCCGCTAATTATGAAAGAACTTGCTAGCTATATCTTAATCCGCTAGCTGTGAAACAACTTGCTAGCTATATCTTCACCCGCTAGTTATGAAAGAACTTGCTAGCTATATCTTAATCCGCTAGCTGTGAAACAACTTGCTAGCTATATCTTCACCCGCTAGTTATGAAAGAACTTGCTAGATATATCTTAACCCGCTAGATGTGAATCAACATGCTAGCTATGTCTTAAACCGCTAGCTATGAAAAAACTTGCTAGTTATATCTTAACCTGCTAGCTGTGAAACAACTTGCTAGCTATATATTAACACGCTAGCTGTGAAACAACTTGCTAGCTATATATTAACACGCTAGCTGTGAAACAACTTACTAGCTATATTTTAACCCTCTAGCTGTGAAACAACTTGCTAGCTATATATTAACACGCTAGCTGTGAAACAACTTACTAGCTATATTTTAACTCTCTAGCTGTGAAACAACTTGCTAGCTATATATTAACACGCTAGCTGTGAAACAACTTACTAGCTATATATTAACACGCTAGCTGTGAAACAACTTGCTAGCTATATATTAACACGCTAGCTGTGAAACAACTTGCTAGCTATATTTTAACCCGCTAGCTGTGAAACAACTTGCTAGCTATATATTAACACGCTAGCTGTGAAACAACTTACTAGCTATATTTTAACCCACTAGCTGTGAAACAACTTGCTAGCTATATATTAACCCGCTAGCTGTGAAACAACTTGCTAGCTATATTTTAACCCACTAGCTGTGAAACAACTTGCTAGCTATATTTTAACCCGCTAGCTGTGAAATAACTTGCTAGCTATATCTTAACCCGCTAGCTGTGAAATAACTTGCTAGCTATATATTAACCTGCTAGCTGTGAAACAAGTTGCTAGATATATCTTGCTAGCTGTGGAACAATTTGCTAGCTATATCTTCATCCGCTAATTATGAAAGAACTTGCTAGCTATATCTTAATCCGCTAGCTGTGAAACAACTTGCTAGCTATATCTTCACCCGCTAGTTATGAAAGAACTTGCTAGATATATCTTAACCCGCTAGATGTGAAACAACATGCTAGCTATGTCTTAAACCGCTAGCTATGAAAAAACTTGCTAGTTATATCTTAACCTGCTAGCTGTGAAACAACTTGCTAGCTATATATTAACACGCTAGCTGTGAAACAACTTGCTAGCTATATATTAACACGCTAGCTGTGAAACAACTTGCTAGCTATATTTTAAACCCGCTAGCTGTGAAACAACTTGCTAGCTATATATTAACACGCTAGCTGTGAAACAACTTACTAGCTATATTTTAACCCACTAGCTGTGAAACAACTTGCTAGCTATATTTTAACCCGCTAGCTGTGAAATAACTTGCTAGCTATATCTTAACCCGCTAGCTGTGAAATAACTTGCTAGCTATATATTAACCTGCTAGCTGTGAAACAAGTTGCTAGATATATCTTGCTAGCTGTGGAACAATTTGCTAGCTATATCTTCATCCGCTAATTATGAAAGAACTTGCTAGCTATATCTTAATCCGCTAGCTGTGAAACAACTTGCTAGCTATATCTTCACCCGCTAGTTATGAAAGAACTTGCTAGATATATCTTAACCCGCTAGATGTGAAACAACATGCTAGCTATGTCTTAAACCGCTAGCTATGAAAAAACTTGCTAGTTATATCTTAACCTGCTAGCTGTGAAACAACTTGCTAGCTATATATTAACACGCTAGCTGTGAAACAACTTACTAGCTATATTTTAACCCTCTAGCTGTGAAACAACTTGCTAGCTATATATTAACACACTAGCTGTGAAACAACTTACTAGCTATATATTAACACGCTAGCTGTGAAACAACTTGCTAGCTATATATTAACCCACTAGCTGTGAAATAACTTGCTAGCTATATTTTAACCCGCTAGCTGTGAAACAACTTGCTAGCTATATCTTAACCCGCTAGCTGTGAAATAACTTGCTAGCTATATATTAACCTGCTAGCTGTGAAACAAGTTGCTAGATATATCTTGCTAGCTGTGGAACAATTTGCTAGCTATATCTTCATCCGCTAATTATGAAAGAACTTGCTAGCTATATCTTAATCCGCTAGCTGTGAAACAACTTGCTAGCTATATCTTCACCCGCTAGTTATGAAAGAACTTGCTAGATATATCTTAACCCGCTAGATGTGAAACAACATGCTAGCTATGTCTTAAACCGCTAGCTATGAAAAAACTTGCTAGTTATATCTTAACCTGCTAGCTGTGAAACAACTTGCTAGCTATATATTAACACGCTAGCTGTGAAACAACTTACTAGCTATATTTTAACCCTCTAGCTGTGAAACAACTTGCTAGCTATATATTAACACGCTAGCTGTGAAACAACTTGCTAGCTATATATTAACACGCTAGCTGTGAAACAACTTACTAGCTATATTTTAACCCACTAGCTGTGAAACAACTTGCTAGCTATATTTTAACCCACTAGCTGTGAAACAACTTGCTAGCTATATTTTAACCCGCTAGCTGTGAAACAACTTGCTAGCTATATCTTAACCCGCTAGCTGTGAAATAACTTGCTAGCTATATATTAACCCGTTAGCTGTGAAATAACTTGTTAACTCTATGCTAATCTGTTAGCTGTGAAATAGCTTTTTAGCTCTTTGCTAACCCTTTAGCTGTGAAATAGCCTGTTAGCTCCATGTTAACTCACTGGCTGTGAAATAGCTTGTTAGCTCTACACTAACCTGTTAGCTGTGAAATAGCTTGTTAGCTCTATGTTAACCCGTTAGCTGTGAAATAGCTTGTTAGCTCCATGCTTACCCACTAGCTGTGAAATAGCTTGTTATCTCTATGCTAACCTGTTAGCTGTGAAATACCTTGTTAGCTCTATGCTAACCTGTTAGCTGTGAAATAGCTTGTTGGCTCTATGCTAAACCTTTAGCTGTGTAATAGCCTGTTAGCTCTATGCTAACCTGCTAGCTGTGAAATACCTTGTTAGCTCTATGCTAACCCTTTAGCTGTGAAATAGCCTGTTAGCTCTATGCTAACCTGCTAGCTGTGAAATAGCTTGTTAGCTCTATGCTAACCTGTCATCTGTGTAATAGCCTGTTAGCTCTATGCTAACTTGTTAGCTGTTAAATAGCCTGTTAGCTCTTTGCTAACCCGTTATCTGTGAAATAGCTTGTTAGCTCTATGCTAACCTGTTAGCTGTGAAATAGCCTGTTAGCTCTATGCTAACCTGCTAGCTTTGAAATAGCTTGTTAGCTCTATGCTAACCTGTCATCTGTGTAATAGCCTGTTAGCTCTATGCTAACCTGTTAGCTGTGAAATAGCTTGTTAGCTCTATGCTAACCTGTCAGCTGTGAGGTAGCTTGTTAGCTCTACGCTAACCTGTTTTCCTCTATTCAGCCTGAAAGGTGTTTCAGTTTCACTTTAAGCTCAGTTTGTTTCGTCTATTCAGGTGTAAATAAATCAGATCTGAGTTTATCAACACTTTATTTTATTAATGATCATAATTATGAGAGTTTAATCAGTTCTTTATTGATCTTCCACTGATTCTGTACATCATCTCCATCTGAATCACCTCCAAACCAGAGAAACACAGACTGAACTGCTTTATAAATCAGGCACAATACAGCAGAGCCAATCAGAACAGAGCTCATTTACATATATCAGTCTTAAAGGCACAGAGACAAATACAGACGGTTTAATTATAAAGAATAAAGAGAAAATAAAAAATGATCATATAAAAATGAATAATTACTGTTTTATACATAAAACCACACAAACACTACAAACAGAGCTCAGAGTGAAAAATACAAGTCGAAAACAGAAGTGATGAGAGAGAGAGAGACAAAGAGAGAGACAGAAAGAGAGAGAGAGAGACAGAGACACAGAGAGAGAATTCAGTTTTTTTTTAAGGCTCTGTCTGTGTGTGTGTGTGTGTGTTGTGTGTGTTCTGTGTGTGTGTGTTCTGTGTTTTGTGATTTTCACTCAGGAGGTTATTTTATTTTAAACACACTGAGGAATCAGAACCGACCCAAAACCCAGCGCAGAGCGGTTCAGTGAATGTGGTGTTGAAAGTGTGTAGATGGGTCAGTTTATCATCAGAGACGCTGTAGAAGGACAGAGAGCCGGCTGGACAGTCCACATACACTCCTACTCTCTTACAGCTGAAGGGAGGAGCAGAGATATCAGTGCTGATATTATTGTGACAGACAGAGTAAATGTAATCAGAGCAGCTCAGACTCCAGGACTTTACATTCCGTCCAAAATTACAGTCATCACTGTCTCCTTTCCTGCCGATTGATTTATACATTACTGCTATTTCACCCGTCCCGCTCCTCTCAGCCTCCCAGTAACAGCGTCCAGTCAGACTCTCTCTACACAGAACCTGATTATAGTAATCAAATCTCTCTGGATGATCAGGATACGACTGTGAAGATCCCACATTCTCCACCTTTCTGTTCCCGTCAGACAGAGAGAGAGAACTGTGCACTGTGTTTGGATCCAGAGTGAACTCACAGGAATCTGCACACAAGAAGACACATTAGAGTGAGTGACTGTGTGTGTGTGTGTATGAGTGTATTCGTTTTTATAGTTTATAAGGACCTTTCAACTCAACTTCATTCTCTGTCATTTATGGGGTTTAAATGCCAGAAGATACTTTAGAGTGTGTGTGTGAGACTGTGTGAGTGTGTGAGCGTGTTGGTTTTTGTAGTTTACAAGGACCTTTCAGCTGATTCGATTTGATTTGATTAGTTTAGTTGTCACATTCAGAAACTCACAGCTAGTTCAAAAATAAAAGTTAGACTTCAGCTGTAATAAGACTGTCTTGAACTCCTTTTAACAACAGTCAATCAAATAAAGGGAGTAAAATATTTCATATATGAAAAGATAAAACTGATATTTTTCTATAAGGAGTGGAGCCATCATGAAAAATGGCTGCCATGGAGCTGAGAAAAAGAACTGAATCCAGAAGAAGAGGCAGCAAATGTTACACCTGTTTATAAAGACAAAGATGGGTTTGGTGTGAAATATATAAATCCAGAAAAAGGTAATTTAATATTCATATTTAATTGGCTGTGTGTGTTTATTTGTTTTAGGTTAATGTGGTTTGATGTGGTCAACATGTTCGCTGTTTTCTCTCGTAGACTGTGAAGTATTCAGCTGTGTCCATTCTGATAAGGGAGGTTTTCTTTTGGATCACAGAGGAACTAATAACTAAACATGAACCTGAAAGGAGACAGAAAATCTATAATGATGTCCTGAAAGTGTTCATGTCTGAATTTCATTACAGTGGAAAGGTTTTTGGTGTGAATGATATTACTCTCTCATTTAGCTGGACACTGGACAGCCACTTCTTTAAGACCACCTCCTTGTTTCTGCACTCAGGGTGACAAAGTATCAGAGAAACAGATGGACTACAGTCTGTAACTGTAGAACTACAGAGTGAAACTATGTGGTCAGTGGAGCTGATAAAGTGGACAGTGAGTGTAGAAAAAGAAGGTGGCCTTAATGAAGTGGCTGGTCAGTGTAATATGTGAGGAAAGGCTGATGTGCTAATTTTTAAATGGTTTTCTGTTGTTTTTGTGGTTCTAGAACTAAAAGTTCTGTTATGCTTTATTTATATGTTTCAGTGTTGATGCTGCTCTGGAAGACGACTCTCTCTGGAAACTTGATGAATGATGACCCTGTTAGCCCAAAATGAAAACAACCACAGTAGCAGGAAAAACCCATCTGCTATAACAAGCATTAATATGGAGATGCAGGGTACTTAAAGATGAACATTCACTGTGAATGAAAACAAGATTAACTGATGTTTTCATTTCTAGTCTTTTTCTGAAACTTCCACATTGATTCTCATAATCATACATTTACAGATGGCAAATGAAAAAGACCAACTACAACCACAAGAACAGCGTCTAACGCAGCAAATCAGATCATGGTTGGAACCACATTTCTGAATTTTACTTCTGTTTCTGGAACATTGCTGAGTCAGATGTTCTCATCACAACTCTGGTGACCGAGAAGGACCAGTTCCAGCCTGAGGAGCAGCTTCCACAGGTAATTTAGAGAAACTGTTGCTGTGACTATCAGAAAAATGTTACACACATACACACACACACACACACACATACATACACATACATACACACACACACACACATACACATACATACACACACACATATATATATATATATATAAATATGTGCTGTAAGAACCTGTTACATGTAGATACAGGAAGATGGCAGATACAGGAAGTAAAGGAACCAGGAAGTGTGTTCACTGTTCAGCCAAAACACGCTTGATGTACACTGAGAAAGAGATCAGAATGAGAATGGAGAAAGTTTAGCTACAATGGAGATGCTGGCCATAGAAAAGGAAATTGCTGTTGCTACAGTAAAGGCAGAGGCACTTGAGGCAGCAGCCACTATGAGTGAAGGAAGACTCAGCTGTAAACTCCCAGTTGCTTCATCACCATTTGTGTCTGCCCAGCGCACACAAGATTACGTGGAGGAGCAAGTTAAGATATGTGAGGAAAGGAGTTTAGCACAAGAGGAGGATCCACCCTTTCAGGATGAGGCAAAGTTGTCACACACACAGCCATCTATGGTCAAGCCGGTATACAACCCGGAAAGCGTTATTCCGCCTGCTGCAAATACTCATGACTTCTCCCACACCCCAAGTAAACAGGAGTCTCCAAACCCTTTCCCTATCTCAAACGTGGATTGCACTCCAACCCAGTTCAGCCAGCCTCTTCAGTGTTACCTTCAAAAATGAGGAGGAATGTCTTCCGTCTTGTCCACAGAGCCAATCAATACTTCATTCTCCTGATAGCAACACCAATGCTAGGTCTTTTCACCCTCACAGTTATATGCAACAGCCCACTCATGCTGCTGATTCCCAAACAACAGACTTTGTGAGATTTCTAGCATGACGTGAACTCATCACTACTGGTCTGCTTCAATTTAATGATCAGCCAGAGAGCTACAGGTCTTGGAGGCGTTCTTTCCTGAATGCAGTAAGAGGTTTGGATCTAAAATGTACTGAAGAAATGGATCTTCTTGTCAAATGGCTTGGAAAAGAGTCTGCTGAGCATGCAAAGTGCATAAGATCCATACATATAAACCAGCCAGCAAAGGGGCTGAAGATGATATGGAGCAGACTGGATGAATGCTATGGTTCGGCAGAGGTAATCGAGAAAGCTCTGTTCCAGAAACTAGACAGTTTCCCCAGAATCAGCAATAAAGATTATTCAAAACTGAGGGATCTTAGTGACTTGTTGATGGAGTTGGATGCCGCTAAAGCAGAGGGAGATCTTCCTAGTCTTTCCTATTTCGACACAGCCAGAGGTGTCAACCCCATAGTTCAAAAGCTTCCATATGGCTTACAGGAAAAGTGGCAGTCCCATGGATGCAGCTATAAACAACATCTAGCTGCATTTCCTCCTTTTTCTGTCTTCATTGCCTTTCTTTACCAGCAAGCTCAGATTAGAAATGACCCAAGTTTCATGCTTACAGGTCAAACAGACTCCAACAAAGTGGAAAAACCTCCATGGAGAGCTAGCAGATCGAAAGAGGGTTTCTGTCCACAAAACAGACGTGTCACCAGTTGCCCGCTCAAATCAAGACAGAACAAGAAAGAAACTGGATGATCCTGACAAGACATGTCCTGTCCACAATAAGCCACATTCTCTACAGAAGTGCCGCGCATTTCGTGCAAGATCCATAGAGGAGCGCAAGAACTTCCTGAAAAAGAATGGTATCTGTTTTAAGTGTTGCATCTCCACAGCACACACTGCCAAAGAATGCCAATGCACTATAAGGTGCACTGAATGTGATAGTGGTCTGCACCCTTCTGTTCTCCATCCAGGACCACCGCTGTGGGGCAAAGATACACACCCCTCCTCAGAGCATGGCGGGGAGCGGAAGTCGACACCAACACCTGTGGAGGAGATATTACAGACAGGTCCTGCTCAAAGATCCTTTTAGCCAAAGTGTATCCTGAAGGATGCCGTGACCAGGCGATGAAAGTATATGTTATCTTGGATGAACAAAGCAATAGGTCTTTGGCTCGCTCTGACTTCTTTGACACATTCAACGTGCAAGGCCCCACTTCATCATACACTCTGAAAACCTGCTCAGGTGTGAGTGAGTATATGGGCAGGGCAACCTCTGGCTTCTACATTGAGTCACTAGATGGTAAAACCATTCAACGTTTACCAAGATTGCTGGAATGCAATGAGATACCAGACAATAGAGCGGAGATTCCAACGCCCAGTGCTGCCTCCTTCTATTCTCACCTGAAGCCAATAGCTTACCTCATTCCAGAACTGAAGCCCAATGTGCCCATCATGTTTCTGCTTGGCCGTGATGTCATCAGACTCCACAAGGTTCGTAAGCATATCAATGGTCCACCAGATGCTCCCTATGCCCAGAAGCTCGATCTAGGGTGGGCGGTAATGGGTAATGTCTGTTTGGGGAATGCTCACAAGCCATTATGTGTAACCACCCTCTTCACAAATGCCCTAGAACAAGATTGTCCTACTCTCTTTGAGCCCTGTCCTAGTATCCTCAATGTGAAGGAGAAATTCTGCCCCAAATCTTCACAGTCTGTTAATGCATGCCTTGGAGAAACACTTACCTGTGAAGGTGATGGCTTAGGCTGTAATGTGTTCCAGCTGACAGGCAATGATAACAAGAAGGCTCCATCCATTGATGACCTCACTTTCATGGCAGTAATGGAACAGGACCTTAAAAAGGATGACGGCAATAGCTGGATAGCTCCTTTGCCTTTCAGGTGTCCAAGGCCTCGGCTTCCTGATAACAAATCTCAGGCTTTTAACCGCTTCTTCTCTCTCAAACGAAATCTTGAGAGGAAGCCAGAGATGAGTAAACACTTTTTCTCATTCATGGGAAAGATATTAGAGAATGGACATGCTGAGGTTGCCCCTCCACTCAAGGAAAATGAGGAACGGTGGTATCTACCTACCTTTGGCGTGTACCATCCAAAAAAGCCTGGTAAAATCTGTGTCGTGTTCAATTCCAGCGCCCAGTATGGTGGGGTATCTCTCAATGATGTCCTCTTGAAGGGGCCCGACCTCAATAACACGCTCTTGGGTGTCCTCATCAGATTCCGCAAAGAAGCTGTTGCTGCGATGGCAGATATTAAGCAGATGTTCTACTGCTTCCGTGTACGGGAACAAGACAGGAACTTCTTACGTTTCCTATGGTTCCAAGACAATGATCCTGCTCAAGATGTTATTGAGTATTGTATGACTGTGCATGTCTTTGGGAATGGTCCCAGTCCAGCAGTTGCCATTCACTGCCTAAGAGAGTCTGTGAAAGATGGAGAATCAGACCTGAAAGATTTGGACTTGGGCTCAGATACTCCTATGGTACAGCGCAGCCTGGGCCTTAATTGGGATCTGAAGACTGACAGGTTTATCTTTAAAGTTGATATTGAAAGAAGCCCTTCTCACGTAGTGGTGTCCTGTCAGTGGTAAATAGAGTGTATGACCCTCT